GTTCTAAAAGCTCTGCGTCTATAGTTCTAAAAGGTCTGCGTCTCTAGTTCTAAAAGGTCTGCGGCTGTAGTTCTAAAAGGTCTGCGTCTCTAGTTCTAAAAGGTCTGCGGCTGTAGTTCTAAATGCTCTGTGCCCATAGTTCTAGGAATCGGGGTTGGTCCCTGTGCTTCAGCAGATCTTTGATCTCCGTTCAACGCTGCTGATCACGTTCTGCCGTCCTGTGATGCGTGGCGGACACGCCCCATCAGGGAAACATAAACAACCTTCACACCTTTTTGAAACTTTTCGTCTTTAACATGAACTGATCTGAGCAGAAACCTGGGAGCTCTCTGTTGCCGTGCAACCATGAACAATGGAGGGACATGCTCTCCGTCATCTATAGATGAAATCTGTCGCCTCTCCACAAACGTGTTCTGGCTCCACAATGCAGTTTTCCAAAGTCTGTGTCACTTGTCTAAATGACGCATGCAGACGTGAAAATGTTCACGAGAAGCCTCAGACCTTTTTCACAATGCCTGCCGGTGGTTAAACACCTTCATGAGTCAACAGAACCTGCTGCACCAAAGATCGAAAAACACATAAAACCAAGGTTTAAAGGAACATGAAGTCTGATCTAATAATAGGAGGATCTGCGTTTGTCAGTTCATATGTTAATGTGAGTCCAGATGTTTCACCTGTGACAATTTAGAAGATATAAATATAACTAATAAAGAAACAACAGCTCAATAGAACCAGTCTGAAACCTTGTTGACCTCTTTACCAGATGCTGACAGTTGTCCAAGACTCACCAGAAGCGACATCACAGAGGAAGTCCAGGAATATTTATTCTACGAAGCATCAATCATAAATTGTTCAGGCAGGTTGAGCAAAAACAGCGTTAAAGTGGTAAAATGTTTGATGTGGCACCGACCTGAGAGACCGATGTGCAGCGTATAAAACTCATCCCCACCTGCGATACTGCTCCACTGATTTTCTACACTCATGATTATTGCCTTTGTCTCAGGTGGGATCATGAGAAATAGCCCCTATAGTCTAGCCTCTATAATCAAAACATCTGCAGTAGGATCCTCTGATGGCAGTTTTAATAGTAGTATATTAATGAAAGGTTTTCCAATATTCTACTGAGCATTTTTAAATTTTAGTATTTGACGTGTATTTTTCAAGTTAATTGTCTGTAGTTCTCTCTTTAATGCCCCTCTTGCAGCTCCTTGGAGCTTTTTCAAAAAATATGAAAATGGAGGTCACACAAACATTCATTATCTTTTCAAATGCTGTAAAAATGTGTATAATAAATACATTTAAACTTTTCTATCCATAAAGATTTGCTTCA